CTCATTTGCGGCTCCATGTGTATGCTTATGTCTACATACGTACTGTTATGATAATCGCACTTTTATATAGAGCCTCAAGAGCATATGACATATATCAGCAAATAAACATATCCTTTTAAATATTCATTTTGTTGCATTGGGGATTGTGTTGTTGGTGCTCCTTTGTACGAATACCGAATTTATTTTTTTCCTTTTTCTATTATTTGAATATCGCCAACAATAATAATAAGTATTATGACATAACTCAAATTCGATATATATTTATATATATGCAGAATATTCAGCATTTGTACGCAGCGGAGGTTTTTGTATTTGTTTAATAAATGGCTGGTCTCAAAGGTCATTTAAATTTTATGCTGTTTATTCGTGATTTTAACTAAAATAATAATTGCGTTTACTTAGAATTAGATTTGTTGGGAAATGCAAAATATGTGAATATAGTATTATATTTAGAGAAATATAGATAATTTTCGGCTGTGCATATGACACAAATGGGGATTGGTTATCAGAATCATTTTCGAATATTTACAAAAAACTGTTGTGGGGGGGAAGCAAAATTATTTTACTGAACTCTTACACTTCTGCATATATGGCATAGAAAAAAGGCATTCATTATTTTTGCTTGAATACTCATTTGGAATTATTTGTTTTTTTTGCCCAATTTGCTTGCAAAAAATTGGGACAATCGATTTTCACAAACTTCTCATGAGGTCAATTCTTCACCAGCGAAATCACTCGCTATGGACAGGAACAAATGGCAATCCCTTTGGTACAATATCCGGACTATAGATTGCATGCATTAGAATTTCCTAACCAAGCTCTCGGAGTTGTCAATGACAGGTCACTTTTGTCATGTGTGGCCTGTCATTGTCCTGACGAAACACAGTTCCCACTTGGCGACCAAAGCTGGACATTTCGGACCGATTAATTCCTTCAGGCGAACTCACTGTTTTTCGATCAGTGCCAGTTTTATTTGACGCTGCTGCAAGAGCTCTACTTTTCATCACCAGTCACCATCCACTTTAAAAAAGGCTCGATTTTGGTACGATTTAGCAACGATGGGAAAACAGTTCAGTTTTTTTCTTTCAGCCTTTTTTAAATGATTCCAATATAGTTTCTATGCAATCTGTAGCTCCTAGGCAATCAATATAGTGCTCGACGGTCAGACTAGGCGAATTCCATTATTTTGCAGATATTTTCGGCAATAAGCATTCCACACCGTAAAACATTTAGCTTTTACAACAACAAGGTTTTGAATAACATTGCCAACTGAGAAAAAAGATATTTTCGAAAATGTGTACAATCATAATATATCGTTGTTACTGTGCGACTTACTTTGAAATTACTTGACCGAATTTGAGAAAACTTTGTACTCGCTGTTGTTCTGGTTGAGGAAATGGTTTCTTTCGGAAAAGTGGTCGAGTGCCCGATATATTTTTAGTTAGATTTGTATGATAATTTGCAAAGGTCTATCGGGTTATAGGGTTGATATACGAGAAGCTTTTAAAAAGATTTGAGTGACATCAAAAACTATTTAGGAAACTGAAATGAAGCTATTTTGTCCTTAGAACGTAATTTGCTGATACCCAAAGCGTAGTTGAAATGGTTGCGTCACAAAGACAATTCAACTGTATTTTTTTAGAAATAAAGTTAAGGGGCACACCTAGGGTAAAGGCCTAAAAAAGATGCTTTTTTGGAATTTTTATTAAAAAAAACACTTTATCATTTATTTCAAATTTTTAAGAATATATTTATACATGTTTCAAAAATATACAGTGAAATTTTCGAAGAAAAAAATTAAATATTTTTTACGTTATAGTCCATCTCCAACAGCACGAAAAAAAAGGTCCTTCACTGCTGCAGTGACCCCGGCCTTCTCCGTGGATGAAATTTAAAGAAAAATCTCGTTTAACTAGATTATATTTTCTTTACAATGACCTACGCTAAAAAAAAGTCAAAAATTGACAATATGGCGGCGTTTTAATAAAAATAGTCGAATTTTACCCAAAATTTTAGTCGTTTTTGGCCTGCCAAAATTCTATTTTTTGATCAGAACAAAAATCGGAGAATTATATATAGAACATGTAAAAAATATCGATAGTGATCGGATCATTTGTTTTTGAGTAATCACTGCAGCAAATTCGAAAAATGCTGATTCGAAAAAAATGCGTTTAAAGATAAAATACCTCAGGTACGTCTCGTAGCTAATGAAACTCTCTAGCTGTCGAGCGGCTGCTCTTTTAATTGCTATAACTCGAAAGCTATTTGAGATATCGATTTGAAATTTTATTATTCTATTTTCAAAGGTGTAATCTACCGAAATGTGATCGATTTTTTTTTTTTTGAAATTTCACACTAGGTGTGCTCCTTAAAAACAAGTTTTATATATTTCTAACGAGAAAACAGACTTTTGTTCAAAAAAAAGAAAACGAATGAAAGCCAATGCTCAGATTGTACTTAGGCAATTGTGTTTTTAATTTTCGTCTCTTCTTTGTTAGGAGTTTCATAGTCTCGAGTGTGTTTCTGATATGAAATAAAGTCTCCTCATTTAAGCAATGGGTCCTTCGGAGTCAGCTCGGAATAAACTATAGGTCTCTCCATTTTTTTGAAAGAACATTAAGATGCACATCAAAAATTGAAGCGCTAATTTTATAGTGCATGTACTATCATTTGTGGTTAGAACTGCATCTTATTTGAGCTTTGTTGTCTGCAATTACATTATTTATGTGCCAAATACTCAGTACCTGTTTTACGAAATGATTAAGTAATTTTAGAGACTTTACCACCAAAGTATTTAACTGCAACGAAGGAAAACCTTAGGCATTAGATAATAATCTATATGTATTAACAAGCACAACCGCCGCATTTGCCACACATAACCATTGGGAAGCCAACGAGTCTTCAAGCTGTCACTGTTTGGTGTGGAATCTTGATTGGTGACATCGTTACCGTGCCATATTCAGAGATTATTTGTTTCCAAATGTTGACAAGAATGATAAGCTTGATATTTGGTATTAGCATGATGGTGCTCGTGCCACACACGTAGAACACTGTGTCCGGAAAACCCATCTGCCCGAAACCGCCTGTGCGATTTGTTTCCATTTGAATATTGCTCATGGGAAGCTACTTAAGATATGTATATCCTGCGCCAACCATAAAGAGGCGATTCATCATTTGAAAGATTCGGGCGCAGTCATATGAAAAACGCAAAATATGTTTTCAAAAATGTAGTTAAGACATTTTTGCAAAATTCGCCTTGCAGCATTAGTGCAGCACAAAGCAGAGAATTTTCGAATGGGAAACAATGAAAAGAATTTTCTTATGAATTAAATTATCCCTGCTGAATTGTTACAGAAATGAAATGAAAACTTTTTATTCCTTTTTTAGGGCTTTTTACGTGTGCAAGACTAAAAAATTACCTGAAATTATGTTACTAAAACTGACAACGTATTTTCCTCTGAAAAAATAGCTCCTAAAACAATTTTTATACTGATATTGAGCTACTAATAAATATTACATCTCTGCACCAATAAGATCTTCTGTATTCTATGCACAGATAACAATACTTCAAACACAATATTAAAGCAGTAGCAAAATAGAAATCCATTTTTATGGTACGATTATCAAGGCATAATGAAACAAAATTTTGAAATTTAAAAATTTCTGATATCAACGCCCGAAAATGCAATAAATTATGATTATATTCTTTTGGAAACTACAACAATTTCCCAGGATTCAGTCAAATAAACACAATACACCTATTGCATGCGTGCATACATACATACATAGTGTGCCAGTGTAAAATATGTGCTGACTTCATTATCGCTGTCAGTATTATCATTGCCTGATTTATTGTTTTTCAAACAACAAATGAATCATTGGCAAAAGGCTATTGATGTACAATGTAAAATTAAAGATACAATATGAGCGGATTGGGGTACGGCATTTGTTAGAGTCGAAGCAAAATTCAAGCGCAGGGCAATAGAGGTTAATGCAGTGGAAATTATGAATAGCAATGAATTCTTCAGCAGAATTAGTGAGCGAGCAAATGGGAACTGCAGTCCGGTAGGTTACTGTGATTGCTGTAAAAATGTGTGTGTATTCTGTGACCGTATGTGCGTGTGTGTGAGTGAGTGTGTGAGTGCATGGATGTACATCCTGTGGCATAAGCATAAAATGCATATTAGTTTGCCGATAAGCTCAATATCCACACATATGAACATATGTCAAGGATGAACGTAAATTTTGTACAGAATTTATTGACAGCAACAATAAGAAAAAAACATTAGAAATGTCAATGTAGCATTGCTACGTTTCGTTGTTTGCACTGCATGCGTTCATTAACAAACCATTCATGGGCTTGTTCCTGCTTTACAATTTCAGTGGAATTATACAAAGCTTGGTGTAATATGATCTTTTCCTAGAAATGAGTATAGGGTAGCGATAAATGAAAAATTTTCGCTGAATACTTTTTTTTACAAGAAAGTTACGTATACGCGGAGTGGCACTCACAATCATCTTAGTATAAGAAATTATTGTATTTCGATTTTTTATCATTAAAAATTATATACATTTACATAATTACACAAGAAAGTTTTCGATTATGCTAAGTTTGGAAAAATTAATTAAATTGATTTTGCGGTTTTATTTAATACTTCATGCGTTTTTTGAAAAATTGTTCGTCAGAAACAAATGCAAAGGTTGCTTTGATATATTTTTATATCTAGCAGTTAACTTAAAAAATGATTTTTAGAACTTTATATAAGCAATTTTACCAGAACACGTTTATAGATATTTTTTTCAAAACCAGTTGTTTTGAATAATATATTAAATGTTTAAAAAAATTGTCGTTTGACAAAATAAAAGCATAAATAACTGTTGGTTAAAAATTTAACACTCGTTATAGGGAAGTCTATTTTCTTTCAGCATATTTTACAGACATAAATGTTCTTATATATAATAAACTCGCATAAACTTTATCATCTATATAGCGCACTTACCTCTCTCATCCATGCTATCACCTTTGTAGGTGCGCGAACGGTGGGTTAGTTTATCACGGCCGGTGGTTATATCGTCACTAAGATGTAGTATACTTTTGTGCGAATTTGTGCTAGAACTATTTTTTTCATATGGATATTTTCACCATTTTTTTTTTAATTTAGTTTAAGTGCAAAAAAGGTGAGAGAAATATGCAGGGCATAGCATAATATAAAAGAGAGATTAAAATAAAAATAAAATATATAAATTTGCAGACTAATTTCGTACTTGGTATTATTGAAGTGCAGCTCAATGTGTATGTGTAAGATGAAGTTGAGAGAATTTGCGAAAAATTAAGTGTGGTAAAGGAAAATTCTATGAAATTCGACTATAGTTTTACAATCGCCTGGCAGATAGTTATTTTCATATATTTGTAAAAATGTATTTCATTTATAAAATTTAAACGCGCCAAAATGTAGGCAACAATAAAATTTGTCAGCGAACTAGCTTCGCGTAGATATATTATATTGTAGTAAAAAGTTGAACCCTTAGCAGACTCTTTTGCCAAATATAATAATTTTGTGGGGAAAAAAATTAGGATTATGTACACTAGTTTCACAAAATTTACGGATGTTGAACAAAGTTTACGCGCCTAGCTTATTTTAGAGTGTTTTTCTTATACCTCACTCAGCGCCATGGCAATAATAAATCAAATCACTTGTTTTTTTATTGTTAGCAAATAATGCGAAGAATAATGAGACTACTTTCTAAAAATAGTGCTGGCTCTCGCAAAATATTTATTTTAAAAAACTTATTCAGTTTAAGTTAAATTTAATTAAAGAAAAATGTAGAAATTTCAAAATTTTTGAAATCAAATCAAACGGACATGTACATATATCTTCTGTCAAACCTAGCACTTGTTTTAAGATTAACTGAGCTCTCAAATAAAATGCGAGGACTGAGCAAAACTGAAAGATATGCGATCCCCAATATTTCAGCACTGGACTTGATAACTTCCTATACTGTAGCCTAAAGTCAACATTCCTTGTAAGATATAATTTTATGCCAATCAGCAACATTTATATAACACGAATGCCGAAATAATAACTTCGTTTTTCCTGTCAAGAGTATCGAGGTATTTTATTCGATCACTGCAATGTATTTCCATTCGCCTCCGACTACATTGAAGCCGAACTCATGAGCAAGGATATCTTTATTTTCCACTATAGTCAGGCAGCCGCAATAGCCGATTGGTTAGCACTACGTACTGTCATAATAAAAGCCATGGTTTGAAACCTGGTTTCATAGCCATCCAAAATTATAGGAAATTAGTTTTCCTGATTCCGGTCACCTCTCGGCGGGGTATATAGTGGAGCCATCCAAGCGAATTTCTGCCTTGAAAAAAAGCTCCTTTGAAATTCAAAAGCCTCTTTTCGGTTCCATGAAGGTGTCATCAAGCAGATTTTCCCAGCGAATAGCGCATTGGTATGGCTTTGTTTATGGCTACATTTAAACAGCGAAATAAAAATAAGCCTATGAGTTGACCGAATTAAGATGGAGTCACCGAACAGCTAGACAAAATTTAGCTGTAATGGCATTGAAATATACTCTCAAAAAAGACAGGAGAACTATAAGAATGTAGAAGTCCTCTAATGCCGCTGATAGGACGATGTTCAGCGGGGATAAGATTTCCGTTACAAGAACTATAAGGAGCATGAAATGGGCCTCTCATTTTTATGCCCTCTCTTGGATAGAGCCATAGAGGAATGGTTTGCCTGAGGTAGCAAGCAAGAAGTAAGATTATTTACTGAAATTTATGGAATAATCGAAGTGGAGTTTTAGTGAAGCTTGGTGATAGGATAGATTTCGTGAGCTATTTAGAAGGATGATGCTCCCACATTGAAACCTACTCTATTCTAAACTATTAAAAATTTAGATTATAGATATGTATAAAATGTTAATATTTGCTGTACTGCTATTCGGCTCGAATTCAAATCTCCATGCGACCATCATCGCCCCTCGGCAGGGAATTCCAGCCACTCCGAGTGTATTTCTGTCATGAAATTAAGGCTCTTCATAAGAAAAAACCATCAGCCGTACGGAGCCAGCTTAGTATAAACTGTAGGTCCCTTAAATTTTTGGAAGAAACATCAAGAAGGAGCCCAGCGAAAAATTGCTACAGGGATTACAAAGCGCCAATTATATATATATATATATATATATATTATATATGTAATTATTCGAGGAAACCTGCATCTACAACACACACCCTAATTAAGCGTATATATATACAATATAAAATGTTAATGCTTCATTTACGTAATAAATAATAGAATTTTTTTTGGGGGAATCTTCTTAGTTCGGGTGCTCTTGGATTATTGCTAAGAACCGTCTTCGCATGTATACTTAGGAAAAAATTCCTTAATTTGAATAATGCGTAATTGATACAAAATTTTTCTTCCAAAAATAGTACCTTAAAAGTGCATGGGAGAAAAGTTCTGAGATTATTCCAAAAATTTCTGACGAAAACATTTTTAAGTTGTTGGTGGAAATAATTGCGATATGTGAGCCACCAGTTTTCAATCTACTCAACCAATTTGTGCTTTAAATATAGTTTTACATATATACATAGACAAACCTTTGAAAAGATTTATATTTGTTTAACTATGAATATCAAATGCTTTTAAATATTTTCTTCAAAATTAAACTTTCTTCTCCATCAAAGTGAACAGTCTTATGCTCCTACGCTTTGCCTTGCTAAAAGTTAGAGTACCCAATGCCCTAGACTCTCCTTGTTTGCATTGAACTTTAAATATTTCCACTACAAACTTAAACACTTTGCCATTTGAATAATTAAATTTGACGATGGCAACTTGAAAATTTCATAGAATTTTAATGTTTCGACATTTACCATTACTTATATAGACATACATACATGAATGCATGGATATACATACAATATATATATACATACAAATACGTACAAATGCAAAAGTCGGTTGGTGCCTGGTTTAAGTGCTGTTAGTACGCCTGTTTGTAGTTGTTGCGGTGCAGAGTGTGTAAGTGTTTGTAGGTGTTTGTGCATGGCTTTTGTAATTGTGGTTGCATTTTTTTGGCAAACATTACTAATACATATGCATTACTACAAATTTTCTATTATACAAAAAAAAAATTTATAAGAATATTTATACAGTTAGTGCTTGTGCTAGCTCACATACATAGACATTTTCGGATGCTTCTTATTATGGTGCAGATGTGTCGGTGGTGCCGGAAGTGCAGACTCTGGTGTAGCTGCCGTTGCAGGTGAGGTGGCATAAGTGAAACCATCAAAATATTCGTGCATTTGGTGAGTGCCATGATTGTTGCTATTGCCGATGAGTATATTATTATTGCCACTGCCGCTCTTGCCGCCACTGTGCTCAGTTATAGACTCATCAAGCGCACCAGCGGAACCGAAACCATAACCGCCAACACCAACACCACCAGCGAAGTGTCGGCCAGTGTTGGCAGTGTCCACCAATACTACAACATCATCACCAACGCCATCGCCAACAACACTCTCCCCAGTACGTCCAGTCTTCTCCACATTCTGTGCCATTTGTTGCCGCTGCCAGTGTTGTTGCCTTTGTTCCGCTTTCTGTGTACGGCTTCTCGTCGCTGTATCCTCACCGCCCACCTCCAGCAGTGATTCGTCTTCATCGTCGTAGGTGTGTGGTGAGTGTGAGGCCAACACTAACGGATTGTTCAGACCCCACGATGGTGGGTGGAGATAATGTGGATAATTTGAATAGATTTCAGCGCGTATGCGATCATCATAGTCGTCCTCCTCCTCCTCATCCGGCGAGATGTTATTCGATAGCTGTTGTTGACCGGTGGTATTGACGGCTATTGATGATGATGGGTATGAGAATGAGGATGATGATGATGGCGATGTTGCTGATGATGATGTTGAGCTGGTGCGATTGTGTTGTTGCTTTTGTTTTTGTTTAAATTTTGGTATGGCGCCATCCGGAAAGAATATTAATCTATCTGCAAGAGAGAAGTGAGAAGGAAAGACAAAGAGCAGTGCAGGTTGGTGCGCTTAAGTACTTTTCACAGTGAGGTGCATAAGAAGGAAATTCAATCAAGTTTTATTACAATGATGATATTGGAAATGATTTGCTTTCTCTTTTTAACTTTTTGATTACCAAAAAGTGGTTAATGACAAAAATGTGTTTAAACTACAATATATATACATATATGCGTGTGTGTGCGTATAGTGAAATAATGTTGTGCATATATATACGTTGGTGTTATTATTATTCATTATGTTACAAAATCCGTTTTGCTTTCGTTGCCGTTGTCGTTATGTTGCAGTGCAAAGGCAGGTGCGCAAAATAGTGCTAAATATATAAACAAAGCGAAGGAGATGAACACAAAGAATAACGAATATAAACAACGCAAATTCAGTGCACTCAAAAATTAATAAAATTAAAAAGAGAAAAAAGAAACAACGAAAAAAAATTTTTTTTTTAATTTTGAAGTGCGCACTCAGGCACTGGATCTACGTTTAGAGTTTTAGAAATGATTTAAGTGAAAATTTATAATGAGAGTGAATGGAAGGCGTAGGAATTCTATAGCCAGCTGAAATAATTAGTGCTAACTTTAATCTTCTACTTGAACTGCATGCAAAATGTAGTAAATAAACAATAATTTCATATTTTTAAAAAGACTAAGTCGCTATAATTTTTTTTCAACAAAAACGTGAGTTCAGGATTTGTTCCATACTCTATTGCCGAACTTTGTAAAATAGTCATTTGAAACACCTTTAAAATCATTTTGGAAGTTTTTTCTGTGAGCGCTTTGTACAATACTTGTGAAGTACAAAATAAAAAATTCTAATTAAACCCCTATAAGAAGTGATTTAATAACAATTTGAGTATTAAAGCACCATCATTCCCAGGAAGGAGTTTCATCACATGTTATTAGCTTGTGAAATGCCCTAAAACCGCTTACTATTGAACTACGGCTTATTTGAGACTTGATATCTTCGTTAATATTGGGAATGTATTGTGCAATATTTTCGCAGGAATGCGTCCAGCAGTCCTTAACTCCTTGCCAAAGTCTATTCAACTGACGAAGCAAGATTACCTTCCTTTTGTGTTTGTTTAACTTCCCAAAATGAAACTGATGGATTCATTGTTAGGCCCTTTTCTGAAAGGACACTCTCCCATCATTTCGTCAGTTATTTCACTGCCTTCATTTCTCGTTTTATCTGTCCCACAGTAATTGTAAACTTTTCTTTTTCGGACCGCATTTTGATTACCGCTTTACATAGTGCAATCCCAGCTGATTTCATTCTCGTGGGTCTTCAACCGCAGCTGCAGGTAACTGGATCTATATGAGAAACGAGCTCGCCAAGCCTGATTATTATCTGCCAAAAGGACTTGCTGTCGTTCACGTTTAATGTATTTTGAGTAGATTATCGCTGCTCTAGCACAAAGTGTACCCGAGTAGGCGTAAAGCTTAGCTTGACTGCGAAATTAAATATTTCACACAGCTCATTTGCAATATTTTGCAAAAGTATATCGGTTGGAAGCCTTTTGGATTACTTCATAGACTTTACAAGTGTTGAACAGAATGACATGGACACATGGATAGCGAACATAGGAAGAGGGGGTCAGCGGCGTGTTAAAAAAACGCAAAAATAGTCGAAGAGGTGATGTCAACTCCTTTTGTCATTTGATACAGTTGTTCTATTTATTATGTGCGGTCGTTAAATCTAAAAGCTACGTCAACCCTCGGAGTGAAATGTGCAATTCAAGGTGCCTTTGCAGCCGTAGAGGACTTGTTCGACAAACAAAGCAAAAAATACTACTGCCATGCCTCAAACTGTGGCAAGTTTTCAACAAAAAATTGAAGTGAAAATAAAAATTTGTTTATCAAAAATAAAATAGTAATCAAAATGTGACACTTTTTTTGGTTACAAATAAATATTTAATTTTTCTTATTTACATTAAAAATTTTTGAAAAAAACTTATCTGGAATAACTATTTATTTTTTTGATGAAACAGGGGCGGTACATCGCACATGTGAAGAAATGTCAAAATGAAATTCTTTTAAATTTGAGTTTAATTTTTACCGCGAGAAATATTTTATAAAATATACATACTTATTTGCAATGACAAAAAAAAAGTACAATAAATATGGTGTAATACCGTCTCATCGATGACCTTGCAATTTTTTTTAAGTTTCCATTTGGACTTTAAAGATGTTATTTTAATAAAACTACATTTTCTTTGGATATTAAACTCCATTTTATTTAATAAACATCTTGGAAAAAGGGAAATCTCAGAAGAACAAATTGAGTACTTTTCTATTAATATTTCTCCTCAATTACAATTTTTTCAGAATGTTTATAAAGAGTGCTCCAAAAATACCAGGATTTGAATATTCAAGAAGCGCACTGAAAGAATTTTTCAAAATTTTTGTTAATTACATTGAGCAACGAACTAAACAAAAAAAATCAGTCACCAGCAAGTGTTTATAGAAAAAATTTCTTTTATATGTACAAATTTTTGATTCTTGGCAATTTTCTTGACATATTTCTTTTCTCATTTTTGGGGCATCTTATAAACCATTTAAACGACACGAAAGCCGTTCGTATGCAATAACAACAACATCAAAAACTACAGAAGCAATAAAATAAAAAATAAAATTTTTGCAGACAAAGAAAGCGACAAACAGCGTAGAATAGCATGAAACATTCATTGGCAGTATCTGATGTGCAGTGGAAGATTTTATATACGTATGTACGATTATGCACAGTACAGTGCAAGTACGTTTGTGGGAGTGTACACATACAACTATTTCTATGTAATTTTCCAGTGAGACAAAGGTGTTTGCTTTTAACTTATGGACACTAAGGTGAGTTAACATACTACAACTAGCGCTGCCAACTGCAGGTATGTATGCATAAGGTGACTGATGTGCCGTCAACGTCTAACGATGCTGCTGACAGTCAGTGTCACGATGGCGGTGACAATGACAACAACAGTTGACAGCAAAAGCGACGGTGAGAATGATTGTGTTGCTGAGTTGTTGGATAGAAATATAGTTGCAATTGCTTTCCAACAAATTACTAAAAACAGGAATTTCACACAAAAGAGCACAGATAACATACATATACACGTGAGTATAGGGTATTCGTTGCTTAGGAAGTAAATTTTCTGTTTGTTCCTTTTTATGGATTCTTTTTAATAATACAGCATTTATTATTTTTGGCTCAAATAATTTTAATTTTAAACCATGTTTGTTTTTGTTAATGCAATAAAAATTTAAAAAAATTTAAGACAAAAAACAAAACAACGAAAATATATATTTTTGAAAACTACGTGCGAGAAATACATATGCATATGTGTTATATATTAAAATATTAGAACAAAAATTCAAAACTTCTATAAAAAAAAATCTGCTAATTTACTACAAACAAATTATTTTCTTAAAACCAAATTGTATATAAAAATTAAAATTATTATTAATTAAATTAAAATTAAAAAGGTTTTCTAGCAAAATTAATTAATTTTATTTATTACGTATACGCACTGTTGTGCGCAAATTATGTGGGCTAACTCCACATTTGCTACTACAGAGAATTACCTTAAAAAATTGTACGCATTAATTATCTTTAAAATTACTTCTCTCCTCATTAAATTACCAAACATTATAAACTTTCTGTTTGGTATACGCTGCGTATACGCAATTAAAATTAATTTCTCTTGCATATTAAGCCCACTTTATGGTAAAAAATAGTAAAGAAAATAAATATTTAAAGCACAAAATTTAAAAAATAATTATCAATTAAATTTCATAAATAAAATAGACTAAAAGCTCTTACAAAATAAGTTAAAATGATAATTTAAGATTATGGCTAAAACCAAAATAAATATAATTAATATTATTTTTCTTTTAATAATTTAAAGACAAAAATTTAATAAAAATAAAAATTAAAATTGAGTTGTAATTAAAAATATTAATTGACATTTGGATTAAAAATAATATTGTAAATTATTAATATAAGAATTAGAAAATAAAAAGTTTTTATAGAGTTGAAACTAAAATAATATTTAAAAATTATAATTGTAAAAAAAATTCAAATTATAGCTGAAATTAGTTTTTAAAATAAAATTAACATAAACATTAACATAAATTTTTGATATTTTTCAATAAATACAAAAACTAAATTCATGTTGCATTTAAATTTAATAAAAAATTGGAAATGATATCAATTTTTTTAAATTGAAATTAGGAAAAAAAATAACGAATATATATGTTAAAATTAAAATTTGATCATAAATTAACTTTAAAGATATAGTTAAAATTATGATTAGAATTAAAGTGAAAAATCACAAATATTTTATAATAAATAAAATTATTACTTAAAATAAAATCCTAACAATCAATTGAAACCGAAATTTTCTTAAAAAAAACTAGTATAAAATTAAATTAAAATAAAAAAATAAAGCAAGCGTTAATACTGAAAATAAGTTAAAGGTATAAATTAAAATGGAAACTTGTTAACTAAATTTATCTAAAGTCGTTTTAATAGAAGTTACTTTAAGTGAAATTAAAATAAGCATAAAATTTATAACTACAATTATAGAAAAAATTTAGAAGTAAATATAAAAAAATTTACAATAAACAAAACAAAAAATTTTATTTAATGCAAAATTATTTTTTCAAAACTAATATTTTTTTTCTTATATAAACCAATTTAATTCAATTCAAATTTTAAATTCTTTGATCTTTAGTTAAAATTATGAAAAAAATTTAAATGAAAAAAAAATTAAACTGATATTAATTAAAATAAATTAAAAAAAAAAACTGTAATTAAATTAAAGTAGAAATTAAAATTCAAAAAAAAAAAAAGATTTGGAATAAATAAATTGGGTCACTGAAAAGGTAAAGTTAATTTATAAAGGAAAGACGAAAATTACGGCAAAATTAAATGAAAAAAAAAATGAAAATTTGATAAAACGAAAACAAATTAAATGCTAAATTTAATACTAAAATAAGAAAATTTAAAATAAAATTAAAATCCGCATTATTAAAATTAAAATTAAAATTAATAAATATATAAAACTAGACTTAATTATAATTTGAAATTAAAAATAAAATTAAAATACCAAAATAATATTAAAATAAGCTTTAAAATTACGGTGAAAGTTATAAATTAAATCTTAAAATTAAATATAACTGAAATGGAAATTTAAATATAAACTTAAATTAAAGTTAATATTAACAATTCGTAAATTATTATTAAATCTTTCTCATCCCAAAACTATTTATATTATATAAAAAACTGCGTAGACAAACAGCGGATACCCTAACCAACACATATCATACTTATACATAAATATTGTTATTTTGAGTTTACATACAACCGAACAATCAAGCTTACAGCGCAAAGAGAATACAAAAGCAGTGGAAGAGAAGTGTAAGGCTACTGATGCAGGTAGATAGAGATGCGCAAGGCAGGTATGGTGTGTTAGTAAGGTGATGGAATTCACAGAATATTTGTACTTGAAAGAAAGCATGAAAGACTAGGTGAAACGACAAATAAGTTTTGCTAAGTAAGCAGGTGACACTGAGATGCAGGAAATTGTTCTTGATTGAGTAAGTAAAGTGCAAGATGCAATGACAGAACAGAAGCATAGTAACATAGGTGAGCAGGATGGCTGGATGGCTGGATGGCTGACTGACGACTTGGCTGATGGCGGCGGTTGTGAGTGTTTGTTATGAGTGTATGCGTATGTGTATGTATTTAAGCGGGCGATTTGTAGATGGATGGCAATATTGGTAAAAGCTATAGCATGTTGAGACGCTAAAGGTGATTTTGTGAGGTTAGGTTTCGAGCGAGAATGCCGTGAGAGTTATGTGTTTTGTTTGTGTTTGTGTAGGTGATTTTTTTAAAGGTGAAGGTGAACAATAGGCTAGATTTGGAATTCATTTTTCAACTTTTTTCAAATAATTTTTTTTTAAGTTTTTAGGTCTTATTTTAAATTTTTTCTGTCGGATTTTGGATAGGCTACATAGTTGTATTTTAGTAGTAGTACTATGGAGTATATAGGTATATTTAAGTTTGCGTCGCATAGTTTGAGTTGATGCAGAAGCGTGCGTTTGTTGTTTACTTTTTTTTTAATATAAATATAGTATATATATATATTTATCTTGGAAGCGATTGAATGGAAAAAGTCAATGAGTAAGAGATACGAAGTGAAGTAAAGGAACTGAACGCAAGTGAAATGGTGTCAACAAAAGATAGGAAAAAAATAAGTAAAAACGAAACAAAAACCAAATGAAGTAAACAATTAGGTAGTAAAAGAGTGATTGATTTACAATAAAAGTTTACTGAAAAAAGTATAAAAATTAAAATAAGAAGAAAACAAAATAAAACAGAGAGTTAAAGAAAACAAAAGTAATTGCTTTTTAAGAGAAAATTCACTTGACTTAAAATTGCATATTTTTTTTCCAATAATTTCTTTGTTAATTTTTCCTTCATCTTTCGTTGCGAATCGTTTATTTTTCTACCAAACATTTTTCATTCCTTGTTTGCAGATTTTCGTGCGACAAATAAATTTGTTCCTTTACTTTCACTAACTTGGTTTTTTTTTCATGTTTAATAACGAAAATGAATTTTTATTTTTGCAAAAAAAAAAACAAAACTAATTTTACGCTACTTTTGCACAATTTACGCTGTGCTGTTGACAAATGTTTGCTTTGCACTTGATTACTCATATTTAGTTTATTTTTGCTGCTTTTTTTACGTGTTCTCTGCTAGCATTGCGTGATTTTTATTTCGTATTTTTTTTTTTTAATTTTTTCGGTTTTTGTTTTAACTTACCCACACACGGATTGTGATTAACTATATTAAATATACGATCACAGCGTTTTTTCATATGATTATTCGGACATATGCAGCCGAACATGGGCGAGAGACGTAGATTCGTCCACGAGTCGTGGCAGGCATCTCTGTAGCGGTGCGTAGGGTGCGTGAAACGAAGATAAAATATTAGTATTTATACATAGGTTTTTGTTTTTATATACGGTAGTAGATAAATTAGTTATATATAATCATTATAAATTAAAATCGATTTTTTGATGATAAAATTTGTTTAGTTTGTTGAAAATGTTTAATATCGGGGAACTGGAGAATTGTGAATTACTTTGAAAACAGCAGTGGTGTAGTGTGCGTTGCAGATAACTTCTAGTAGTCAGAAAGACTGTGTTCCAGTATTGATTTTTCTAAACCATAAAAATATTCAAAAAGTGAATATATTTAAATTTCACTCTTTCTAAGGTGTGGGGAAGTCATTCTTAAAATAAACTGCTGATTTCTCTCCGTTTATCAACTTTTTGCCAAATGTCATATATCAATTAGTACAGTAAATTAGCCACACATACGTCTCGAGGTTATGATTTCCGAAATTGTTTATGGCAAAAAGATACTTTCAGATCTCTATTTATTAATTTTTTAATTAACCAAAAAATACTGAGAATCGTGCAAGCAAATTTTTTCAGCACATACTCAATTCATTGATTTAAATGCTGGCTATGATGAAAAGCAGAAGTTCAATAAATTCTTAAAAATTCGTAAAAATTTTCCTTAGATTACTTTCTAATCAAATATTGCTTTGAGGGTTATAGAAGTATATAGCTGTTGTTGGCGAGATATGCCATCAAGCAATTTCTGAATACCTCCATCAACAACCAGCACCAGCTGATCTAGTCTTAAAAATATAATTGTTCGAATTTTGCACAGTGAACCATAGCTAATTTCGAATCCTCTCATTTTGCTCATTTCGTTATATGTATTAGTTTGTTACTTTGTTTTTGACTCCTCTCATTATTCTTATGTCTTTATATGTATTAGTTTTTCAAATAACTATTCTCAAAATTCGATTGATTGAAGTATTAAGCATTAAGGAGCTCAAACCAATATTTTAACATCCCAGAAAGTTTTAAGTAGAATTTGTTTCAAATTCTTGGAAATATCTGTTTTTAATTAGAGGTTAAAAAAAACAGCTGCCTTCTGATTTCTTTAACAGCTGTTGAGACTTGCCAAAAAATTTTTGGATTCCTGTGATAAAAAAAATAGCCTACACACATTTTCTTTCGCAAGTGCTTAGCTCTACAAGCACTTTATGTCGTGAATACTTCATAAGGCCTCATCCTGCCTCAAACGCTTGGAACTCAACAAAATTGAACTTGCTCTCTACAGCAGTTCGCACAAATCTCTGAGGCTAAATAAGGGTTTGAAAAGTCGGGTTTCAAAGTCGCATAAAGATATTGGAAGTTATCTTTGAGGCTGTATGCCTCACCATTTGCCGATGGACTGTTACTTTTGTGGTAAGATCAGCACTCCTATATGCACGAGATGCGCTACAATTGGGAATGAGACACAAACTTTATTGGACAAATTCAAAGTACTGCATTTATATACATTAGCAGAACGCTGTGTATTACTCCAACTGAAGCTCTAAATGAAATTATAGAGAGCTTGTATTTGATTTGATCGCACCACAAATGGCAGTGATAGCAAAGGCCGAGGAGTTTCGTTTGGTTTCCCCTCCAAATTTATGACATTAATTCCGAGCAGATAAAAATGGGCAGCCAATATAACATTTCAGCTAGTAACATCGAAGTATACACAGATGGTTCAAAAATTAATGTTAGAGACGGGGCATAGTGTTTTCCAGTAATCCTTAATTAGAACGCTCATTAAAGCAGACAGTTCGTTGTTAAATTTATTGCAAACGAGTTTTCAGGAAAACATATTTTCATCTTCAGTGGCATGTCGGCAGCAGTAAAAACATTACATTTGACCGTAAGGTACGCTTAAAATGCGATTTTCCGTCATCGATATCTTCAAGAGAATGCTTAATAAAGTAAGTAGTCCATATACATCTTTTGGAGCCTAGATCGGATTCATTCGAATAAAGGACGCCTAAATCTCGACGCATGCAAAGCCGTGCATGGATTTATGGATAGATCTAGTTTAAATGGATTCAAACCTTTTTCAGCTGCTAGGCAATTCAAATTCAAGTTGGCTAAAATGGAAATGGATGGTGTCCTGACTGAACTTGTTCTCAAGGGCTGGTAAAAAATCCAGCTGCTTTTTCAGAAGATACCGTACAGGCTGCAGGAATCACGAGGAGAATGAGACGATTATTTAGTTGTTGTGTGCCAGAAGCTAAAAAAAGAAACCAAAATCCATAGGAGAATTCAGGTTTATCGAAAAGGCTATTGCGATTCTGGTTTCAAATTGGCTTAAGTTCTTAGATGCAACTACTTTCCTAACCTGCCTGCCTCACTTTCGATTACGAAATGGTGATCGATATGGTAAATTTGTATCCCAACACATTTTCTTTTTTCATAAGCTTCATAATTATTTTATGTAAATAAAACAAAGGCAAAGTCAAAGCACAGTGACACGCGTTGTGAATAGCTTTTTTCTTAATTTTATGTATTTTCTATATATCTATATTTGTATGTCTCTTTGACCCTTTAGTATTGCTCATTTGTTGCTCTGAAAGACGGGCGCACTCTTAGTTAAGAGCGCTGCGAGAATTTCATAGCACCAATTTGTTGAACTATTCAAATTTAACACACTTGAGTGCACAAGTTACTTACGTCAAACTACATATATGTATAGAGTTATGCGCATTCTCTATTGAGCACAGCAAAACTTTCATAACGAGCGAACAGAAATGCATGCGTACACACCCATTCACATCAATGCAAGTGTATTTATATGGAAAAACTTTATCGGCTTTAGAGCAACTACCGCTACCTCCTTGACATACACTCTATTACTCTCGTTCTACTGACCAAAATTGCGTCGTTTCTGGTTCCTTCTTTCCTCTACTTTTCTACCCTTTGACCGTATGACAAAATCGCCAAGATGTTGTTGAGGTTTATGGTCAGCCGGCATTCTTACCAATCAAATTTCAATTAGAAATGAATACAAGAACTTGGAAGTTTTTGCGTTGAATGTGCGTTTGTGTGTGTGTGTGTGTGTGTGTGTGTGTGTATGAGTGAGTTAAAAGTGGGTAAATGTGGAAATCTATAGTTGAAAAGTATGTATAAAGCGCACGCACACACACACACACACACACACAAAGTGTAGGAGGGAATTGCACTCACATATAAATATATGTACATATATGCATTCAATAAATTATTCAACCAACCCTACTGAATTTAAGCGCCACATATTGTGGCAGGCGAAAACTGCAGCGTAGCATTGCACGTTTCGGAATATTCCCACTTGCTTTTGCCATCATCTTTCGCAAAGTGCAAGTGAACTCAGTTATGAACTCGGAAAAGTTTATTTTCACTCTATTCGAATCCCACGGCTGTTAGTGTTGGCTGCATCAAATGGTTGTGAGTTAAGAATAGTAGCATAGCATACCGCCCACACTGTCTTGTGGACGCACTGGCATTTTCCCCAATTCATATTCCCAATTGCGGGTGTGCGCAACCCTCCAACAAGCACTACCGCACAGCTGTTGCCGCCGCCACCACTACAACTCGACTATTAATTATGTAAAATTCATTATCGATGGTAATAATAGTAGCGTTGCAGCAGCGACTTGTTGCTTTGAGAGTTGCTCTCTTGCAACGCTCTTGGTTGTGAAGAAAATGTGGTGCTTCAGCAGGGAATCGCATCGGAGTGCAGCTGCTGCATTGCCAACAGTGGCATCAATGGGCAAGGCTAATTAACAGCGGTTTGTTGACGTAGAATGGCAATAGATTTAATTAAGTTGCCGGTGTTGGGTAGGCGGGAGGGTGAGTTCGGAAAACATGAGTGAACTTTTTGAACTTTATGCCCGCTGCAGTTTATGACAATTATTATCTGGCAGACAGTTGTCCCAAAGTTTGTTTTTAACAGTTTTTGTCATCAAATGAAATTAATAAGTGTCGAGATTTAGTTAAATACGTTGATAGTGAGTGAAACTATTATAACTATTTTTTTTTTGTTTTTTTTTTGAAATGTGACAGAAATACAAAAATGTATTTACTGTGAAAAATATTTCCTAATGAACTTTGTGTAGACGCGGCTGCTACAATATTAGTTTTAAACTTAGAGAAAGAAGAACTTAGAGTAGACTTAGCATATGGGTTTAAAGAAAAGTAAAATGAAAGTCATGTAATTTTTCGTCGAAACTCAAATTGATATGGATGGTAAATCTCGGCATGAAAAGCTCAAAATTTATTACTCTCTTAAACCTAAACTTTGGTTTACGGTATTTTCATTGCAGCAATTTTTGCAATTTTAGTTTATCAGTACAAAGATGGACTCCAAAACCTTCTACCAAAAGAAACCAAAAATAGCGCGTTGTTAGTTACATGCCCTCGGCAAGTCAAACCAGGTCTCCCTCTATCTGGTTCTTCTAGCGAAGTGGAGGTTCTCCTCTGCCCCTGTTTCTATCAGCGCAAACTGTATCGAATACTATCAAAGGTGGAGCACTTTTGTTCATTCGGACGACATGACCTAGCCAGCGTAGCCGCTGTCTCTTTATTCGCTGTATCATACAAATGCCACCGTCAGCAAGGTCAGAAAATAACTAGATTCTCTTTGAGTTAACAGAGCAATGGGAGTTTTTATCAGAAGTGTGGCTTTTAAAGAGGTAATACTTTTTCGTAGTTCTTTTCATAGATATTACTTGACTTATACTCAATTTGGCTGGTAATTTCATAATGAACTCTCTTACCCCATAACAACAAATTTTGTTCAGCAATGAAGCTCACTTGGTTGAATTAATGAAGTGATGTTAATCCACAAGCCATTAATTGAGACGCTCGTACCTTCTTGAAAGTCACTGCTTGGTCTGCTCAGGAAATCATTGATTTACATTTCTTCAAAAATGAAGCCGTCCATTATATTAGAATAATGTTATACTCGTAGAGGCACGAATAATGAATTCTTCAGTCGTGAACTGTGGTATGTCCATATGGACGATTTTTTGGTGTCAACAACACCGCGGCACATGCCTCACAGCCAATTTATGGAAGGCAGAGCGTGATCTTCAAAATCGTGCGGTTCTACGCCGCTGGAAGATTTTTGTGGGGTTTTGCGAAGTCGCTTGTCTAAGCAAAAAATTTTCGAAACATACAATTTATATAGCCACTCCTGTGGGGTAGGAAGGAGAAGATGCTGTCTAAACTTGGAGGGTAAGAGGGAGAAGATGCTTAGGAGTAAGGAAGGTGATGCCAAATAATATCTTGGTACTTATTCATAGAGCTGTTTGGCTCTTAATGGAGTTCGGGAGTGAACTTCATAGGCAAAATAAGAGGTGATGCGGCGTGACTTTTCCTCTCTACACCTTATATATTTATTGGGTGGAGCTCTGGGGTGAGCTCAGGGTGAGAAATCGGATATCAGGTGGGATTGACCATTTTCTTTCTTGTGTTGGGAAAATATTGAGAGCGAGAAGTTAATTCAGTGGTCTTGTAAGTCTAGCTTACACTCCTTAAAAACGGGCGTTTTCCAGTAGTTCATTGTGCTGGCAAACTTATAAGTATGTAATATTACAAGCAGTCGAATGTCACTACCTCAATTCGCTGCGCTTGCCTTTATTAGGCACACAAAGTGGCTCGAAAAACATCAACACGCAAAACCACAAACTGAAGGAGGAGCTCGGCCGAAAATCGCTTCAGCGTCTACAAAGCGTCAATTATATATATATATATGTATATAAAGTAGTTCGATCACTTAAGAATGTGAAGACAGGACCCTCACATCGGTACCTCAATGGGTCTAATGGCTTATGAGCGCTGGTAATGACCAGCATCCACAGTAACTCAACTACACTCAACTCATGGCACGAACATGCATTGTTTTGAAGTGAATTGAAGAATGAAAAGTAAACGAACTTATACCTTCGATTCTGTTCAATAGCTCGGGTTAGGTCTAGTCACAATTTAAAACATCTTTATGAATAAGGTGGGTCCAAGCTATGTTTCGGTAAATGAGATTTTGCTAAAGTTATAATTCAGACTATTTAGATATATGTCGGTTAGCTTGGTATTAAAACCTTGTTTTTCGATTCGCCGTGTTTTGTGAGGAATTTGAATAGTTTCTTCATTAAGTCTATTATTTATATATTCTTGAAGGAGTTTCTCATCCTCGACGACAATCCGTCATTCCAACATTTGAAAATTTCTTTGATGATTTCAACGCTCATATTATCTTTTTGAATGCTTCCAATGCTAATCTTGTTTGTTTAGCTCGAAAAGGCCATTTTTTATCTCATAAGAATTTTCTATTCGGTAAAGTAAAGCTTAAGACTTTGTTCTAACCTGACTTTTTTCGAGTATGTATCCTTATTTAAAATTGTGTAAATTACTTAAGAGCTCTCAATCTTTATTGAGCTATTGTTGGAGTTTTATATATTTAAACTTTGTTCTTCTTTGTCGAAAATCATTAAAATCACGTTTTTTCCATATTTACTCATATCTCATTCATTTACCTGTTCTCCATTTTGCACTTATTGTCCCTTACTTTACAATGCGCTTTGAAATCTTCGAAAAGCTTCAGGCATTTACGCTCCTGCTGACATACAGACAATGCGTGATTGCACGTCGGCAATGCATCAATTGGATATGGATCCTTTTCAGCTGTAATTGACAGGAAAGTGAAATATGTTTTAGTCGACTATTAACACACATATGCATATATCTACATATATATGGTATAAAATTATTCATTCTAATATCTTATATTATTTAAAACGTTAAAATTTGTATACCATTCTAGTTAACAGATATCTTTTATATTGTATTCGTTATGTAATATAGAACAGTTTAATGTGATGTTTAAACACATATAAATGTAAACAAGTAGTCGAATGTCCTTAAGCATTCTTTAAAGGCAAAATTTTTAAAGGCTTTGAGTTTCGTAATGGTATTACACAAGAAAATTGGTAATTTATAGCCAGACATATGTATGTACGTATGCGCAATCTGTTACAGCACACAACCACATTGCCATGGGAAGCTGAAGTGCCATTAGAAGGGAATTACTTTAGGGCGCTTTGAAGTTCTCGCAATGCATATACATATATATGTTCTCTTATGTATGTGTTTTAATGTGCACATTATGTGTGAAATGAAAACACAAAATGTTGTATGAGAAATAAAATTCAGCAAGGAATTTTCGCAGTGTAAGTTAAGCCAAACAAGTACTCTCTTTCCCTCTCTCTCTTGTGCCATAGGTTATCCCTCTTTATGTCTGTATATCTGTGCCTTTCCCGACTGCATCGAATTTATTATATGGGGACTGTATGATATTGTCATCCGCTTTCGATGATTTTCATTTTCAATATTTATTTGTATATACAAATTTAGAAAACCAATTTCAGATCGATAAATATATAAGATGCTTAGTTCAAAAATTTCTCTTTTTTAGATATGTAATTAGTATTTATACCCTTTCTTGAATTCCGGAGAGCTCCAGTTTATTTTAAGCCGCCTTTGAATGCCCGCTGGATTTTTAAGAGGAGCTTTGGTTTTCAAATTTTTCTATAACTTCAAACTTTTAAAAGCAAAATCAAAGAGAATAAATCTAAAGAAAGCTGGAAAAAAATTAAAGTGTATCAATATAATACTAAAAGCTACTAGACCCGCATTATGTTATCATTTGACTTTGATAAATTGTATATTTATATATACACAGACATACCCATGATTGTTTTTTGGACTCCTGGAAAAAGTCTTTTCAGAAAATAAGCTAGAGACCGAACAATTCTTAAAAATCTTATTTATGTTTCGTTTTACATGAAGTTTGGGGAAGAGGTCACCGTTTGCTTAAATTAACAGGAAGTCTATACATTTCATTTCGGGAAATGGAACAGGGACTGACATATTCGAAAAGATCTTATGTATATTGTAGTTCAATTTACTTAAAGTTCGGTACATAGTTGGCTTTTTGTATTGAAAATCTTATTAATATTTTTTTTTTTTTTTTATTTTAATTAAAAGTATACACCGTTTGCTTTAGTTAAGCATTTGGACGATGTACCCAAATGGAATACTTTTTGTTTCCTGGAAATGGACAAAGCATCAGAAATTAATTTCGATCTGCTCGAAGCATAAATAATACCATCTTAATGGAAAAGGTTACACCGACAGGTTGTCAAACATTAGTATGATTTGGATATAAGCATAGATAGTGAAAGGTATTTTCGCTTTTTATTATTCTGCGGCTGCGAGTTATAACAAACTCATATACATTCAATTTGAGTGTGAATAAGCACAGACCCGAAAAATGCCTTTGGCCTACTTCGAGGCATTCATATTGCTATTTTCCTGAAAGAATTTGAGCAGAGAAGAAGTGACACACACATACATTTCAGTATTTAGATCAATAATGCATGATTTAGATGCCGCTTAGTTACATCTTTTTATCGTTCTTTGAAATATCAATTAGAATAAAAATTCGACAGAGATATAAAAATAAAATAAAATATTTTTAAAAATTCTAATTAACTTATTCCGCAAAAACCGATTAGTTAGCAATGCTTACTGAGGTTTGGAGCTCTGAACCAATATCTAAAACTATAGAATATTAATTTAATGAGGTCATCACTTGACAGAGAATGTCTACAACATTACATATTTCTGTCATGGAATAAAAAATTGTTCAAAATAAACTATATTTTCTTTGATAAACATCAAGACACAATCTAAATATTTAATGAGGTGGTCGACCGAAAATCGCTTCAACGATTATCAGTGCCAAAACTATACTTACTCCACTGGCATGTCTTTAAAAAAAATATTATTTTCGTTTAGTCAGACCACAAATTAATTTTTTTTACTTTTATGAACTTAACTTTTTTTTTTATAAATTTAGCATATTTCTTTAAGGGCTAAAAATACTCTAGGCTTTCGGAAAATGCAATGTTTTATTCATTTTTACGCACAGGGTACCTTTGAGGCCTAGAAATGATAGGCAATTGGTTTTAAAGTGAAAAAAAAAATATATATATTTCAAATAGCTGAACTTTTTATTTTAAGGCAATCTCTCAGAGCGTGCCTTGTACTATGATAACCTTAAAGGCATTTTCTCAAAATCACATTTTTCAAACTGGGAAGACAGATTATTTGGACCCCATGTCATCGAATTAGCTGAAATTTTGATGGTAGCTTCACAAACAAATATATTTTTTTATGCAAGTACGTAGCCGTTTTTCGAATCTATGTACACTTTTTTTTTTAATAATTTATTGCATATTTGTTAGTCAAAAACCAATTTAAAAAAGTGTGCTGATTTCACAAAAATTAGTCAAAAAATTAATCCGTACGTTCTTCCAAAGAGCATAGTTTGTTGATCATAAAACTTTTTGCTTGTCTGTTCAAGGTCTCATCCTTTAGAAGAAACCTATCCCCTCCCGTGGGCGCCTTTCAAAATATCCCGGATTAAATGATGGACTTTTGTAACAAGATAATAAATAAAGAATTTTTTTTTTATATTTAATATATGTTCATTGAAATGGTTAAATTCCTACAATAAATTTAAAAAAAATTTTGCAACCTATAGAGTGGTTTTAACTCTTAACGTACTACAGATATTTTTTTCAGAAAGTAGAGCTTGTCCCTAGTGTAAATCTCGACTACACATTCTTTGTACTTTCTCTGCCTCCGGTTGATAACTGCGTTTTAATTATATTTTTATATTTTGTAAGAAGCTCTCTCCTATGTATTGACACTTCTTCGATAAACATATGTACCTACTTACATAATTACTCTACATATTGCCATCTCAAGGCGCTTACAATCAGCACCGTTTTCAGTCTGCCTGCCTGCACACTTTATGTCAGTCTTTTGTTTCAATTATGTCACAACCAATATTATCAAAGTGAGAATATGTAATACCTGTATGACATGTTGTTGCTGTCATTACTGCATGCATACACACCAATATGGTTCAATGCGACGTTGGCGGCAAAGTGACTTGCACTTGTGCATAAGTGCAGGCAGAAGAGTGCAGGAAAAAGCATTAACTGAATGAACCGTGTGGTTGATATGCCAAGTATACATGCATTGAGACGTTGCATGAGAGTGCCATACATTCTTTTGGCTCCACTGACTGTGCGGCAATTGCATGAGATGTTATGAATGAGCGCATTGTCTCGTGTCAGGTGATAAAGGTGCATGCACTTGCACACACACATATTATACACACAGTTGTATGCATAACTAAATATGTATGCAGCAGATGTTCTTGTAATTTTAAGCTCACCTTTTATGCAGTAAATTGACTGTGCAATGGTATGCGCCGGTAAGTATGCAACAAAAATTGAATAACTCACGTAAATGGAAAAGTAAGGATAAGCTTCTTAAGATGCACTTTACTCAATTTCCTTGCCTTCCACGGCACTCATTTATTGCGATTTTGTGTGTGTATACTTATATTATATGCGTGTGTGTGGCTTTGATTCTTCCACTGATTTCCGCTGATATACCGCAAAATTGTAGCAGCATGAGGTATTCTCAGGAGTTTCCACTTTATAAATTACAATTTGTTGTTGTTTAATTCACCAGATGATTGAAGTGCGCTGCCTCACTTTGTAATAACAATAAATCTTCTCAACTCTCCCAAAAGATATCAGATTGCGAGTGTACAAATGTCTTCTTAAACCGCTATTCATGTTGCTACGCTCGCCATTGCCGCTTCATATTGTTGAGTTATTACTCTTACTGTTGTTGTTATTATTGTTCTATTTGTTAGATGTTGGCAGCGGCAAGAAGTTTACAAGGAAAATTTATTATGTTTTGCTCGGCTGCTCAAGTGTGTTGTGATTCATCGAGTGAGTTAACTTACTCAGTGCTGGAATGTGTAGGTGATGAAGCATCGCATTAATTGCGTTTAAGTAACTGTCTTAATCGAATATTTATTAAGAGACTATTCAATTATTATTTAAATGAATCTCTAGAGGAAAAACTGAGACTGAAGTTAATGATTGTGTGATTAATAAAATGGCGCTTACTGCCAACATCGTTGCATACTTTTATGCCAAGCACTTTTCGTAATGCTAAAGCGTTAAAATTTGTGAGGATTGTCTGAATCGGGTATTAAGTTTCTTTAGAAGTTTATGTTGCTAACTAGGTAATTTGTTTGAACTTATAGAAAAAAAAAATTATTTAGAAAAAAGTTTCGACCTTATGCAGAAAAATTTTACGTAAACGGGACGCAGATAAATAACTTGAGACAAAAAAGTGAAAAATAAATATAATTGTTACCTAACTTTCCAAGGACAACTATGGAATTCCACTTTTGAATTATATTTATATGGTTTTAATAAAGTAACTTTAATTTTTTTGCTAAATATTTAATTCTTAATTATGCATACCTTTTTTAAGCACGAAACCGCATGGATGATCGAAAAGGAAATCACGAAAATGATTACAATCCGGATCCATGCCGGGCTCTTTGCAAAGGCAGGTTGGACGAAAGAACTGAAAGGCTTGCAGTGTCCTTAAGGCGGCTTGACACTTTGTCACAGTTACTGTACTGCACGAAACTGTAACGAAAGAGAAATTTGATAAGTATTAAATAAGCAGTATTTTTAAGTTTTATGAGTAAAATAAATTTTTTTAAGAAATTCAGACGAAAATACGGAAATATTGGATATTAAAATATTCAAAATTCTAGCCACTCTCTCCAAAGACTTCAAAGCAAAAATATTGCAATGCATTTTTATATTCGCATTTGAAAAGATAGTATCAAAATGATTGCCTATTTTCTGGCGCATAAAACATCTACTAATTTTCAATAACCTATTTGCTTTTAATTACTTTACTAATTTAAATCTTCGCTAATTATTTTTACTTTAAAATAATTGATAAATGTTCTTCATTAATAAATATTTTTCTGGGCTAGATCATTTATTTAGAAAAAAAAATAAATTTTATGAATGTCGGGATATAATTTTTTCTCAGAAATTTGTAAAGCAATTGATCAAAAATCTAGCTCACAAAATATAAAAACATGGAAAATGATGTTGAAAACTTGATTATTTGAATTTATTATTATTTTTTTATATATTTGAAATTTTTTTTTCTTCCATGCAATTTTTTATTTACTCGGGAGTATTGCAAAATTTCAAAAATGAAAAATTTTCAAAACGCCATATTGGATATAATTAAAAAACCTAATTGTAGAATAAAAATCAATTTCTTTTCAAGATTATTTGGCATAAAATAAAGCATGGAATTTATAAAATTATTGTCTCAAACGAAAAAAAAATTATTGAAATAAAAAAAATAGAAAGAATGAGAAATTTATAGCATAGAGATCATCTTATACTTATAGTTTCAAAGTATCTCAATGGTACTTTTCGGGACTGATTCACTGTACATATCCTCCTATCGTCATTAATACTTTTTTTTTCGATTTGTTAACGAAATGTATAAATAAATAAGAAGCTGCACTCCAGCAAAATGTCACCATTTGCTAATGAGAACCTTTTATTTATGATTTGTTTTTGAAGAAAAATAATTTGACTAATAACCTTCACAGAAAAAAATGACTTTAGTTTACATATCGACATTACTATGTTCAGATTTACAATATAAGTATGCTAATGAGCTTGTATAAGAAACGTAATCAGTAGCTGAAATCCCTTTTATCCACCAAAATTGTCCTTAAGAACTTTTAGTCTAACAATAAATGTCAACGCTACCAAAACTGTTACAATAAACGACTATTTATGTCAAGTTGATTGTAATAATACTCAGAACTCATAATCGTAAATAAAAATAAACACATATAAGAATATAATCATGCATTAGCAATAGCTATACAGCATATAAATATGTAAATATTGTGTGTAAATATGGAAAATATAATGTACAAGACATATGGAAATTTATGAGTAGCTAAAATAAATATGTGATCTGAAATTAATACTAGTGCCATCATACCTAAAAATATGTATTACATATAAAATGTGGTTATACGTATTTATATCTATGCAACAAGTATACATAATTTATAGCCAGCCCATTCTGGATATAAGAGAACACATCACGTCTCTTAACCGTTTTCAGCACACAAACATAAAAATGCATTCCCTTCCAGAATATATGTGTATGTATGCTCGTATGTGCCCCCCATTTCTCACAAGCACATTTTCCGTTACTCAATTCCAATAGAGCGATAGTAAAGCATAGAAAATAACTACGACTGCATTGAACAGTTTTCACGCTTGAACGCCACCAATGTTCGATTACTTCTCACTTTAGCCCACCATGTGGCCATAACTGTCCGCAACAGCCCTATAATAGGCACTAACGTCATCAATTCTTATTATTTTAGGCTTGAGTACGCTTCATTTAAAATAGAACAAATGTTTTTGTTTTTTTTGTCTCTCGCTTGCGCTTAGGACGATAACTTTAATGATTAAAGCTTGCTTAACTTGCACAAGTTTGGTTTAGTGAAAAAGCTCTATTGAAAATATTATAGAGCAATTATATTTATTTGTTGTTATTCAGAAAGTTCTACGTTAAAGAGGTGGCCAATTGTGGTACAAATGAGAATTATATTGAATCCACCCCTTAGTCAAACCAATGTGTAGAGTTTGGAAAATTGAGTAATCATCATTTCTTTACCCCCGCTATCTCTCTGAAGCCTTTAAAGGTTGCCACCCCAGCAGACTTCAACCTGCTTCTTTAAAGTAAAATTTTTCACGTGTACGGTGTACCTGTCCAATAAAATATGTCCTGTATGAAGCCCGTTCGCAATATCCGAGCGGTCAGCATTGCGTACTGCCATTCTGAAGACATCCAGAAATTAATTTCTCTAACTGCGGTTGCCCATCGGCAGAGACGGTCTAAGCCTCCAAGTGTACGAGGTGTGGCAATTAAGTAATAAGACTGATTATATCGCCGCGATTGTAGTAACCCTGCAACCCTTGAAATTCCTTGGTCAAAGGAACTCAGTTTGAGTCGATTGAGGACATCCAGGCGGCCGTGACGAGGGTACTCGCGGACATGGAAAACGCGCTGGAATCGTTGTATAGCTGCCCAAGGGGACTAATTTAAAGGGGATAGCCGAATAAGTAGAATAATTTTTAAATATATGGTTTTTATGAATTCAGTCTCATTACTTAATTGTCACACCTCGTAACTGTCACACCTCGTGTTTATGACATGCAATAAAAAGTACCCTCCATTTGTTGGGAAAACATCAAGACGCACATTAAAAATTTGGAGGATGATTTTCGCAGAAAATCACTACCGCAGTTACAAAGCACGAGTTATATACATATTTTTATATGAAGAACTATAATTGAAAGTGTCTCCTTTCTTTTTAGCACAAAACGGTCTATTGACCTAATTTTATCCCATGCTGGCTACATTGTCCCTGTCCCATTATATGCCTTGAGTAGACACCGCCTGCGAACCTGTCATTAAGTTTTGACCCATCAAGTCTGCACTTGCTAGTATAATCCTGTCCCATGATTTCTACCTGGGATAAAGCCCAACAAATGCAATGTAAAACCCATTTCCGACCTAACGCCTGGGACGCCTAAATCTTCTTTTCTTCCGAGTTATGCGATCAGCTTAATAATATCTATAACGAGCCCCAAATATTTTGCTGTCTCGCTCTGCATGACTTTACATAAAGTTTGTGGGAATTTTCTTTTCATTATTACTAAATCTGCATAAGCTGTGCCCTTATCTTGAATGCTCATCGGCAAAAACTTACTGTCAATACCCATAAAAGAAGCGATAGGAGTCCTCCTTGAGGGTTTTCTTTGCTTACATACATGAGTGTCAATACAGCTCCGCGATTGGCGTATAAAAGAAATTATTCGATAGAAGACGTTCAGGCAAATCAGGATTCCGCTAATTTAGGCTGAAAATATTGAGAACAATTTTGGATTCCCTCCATAATTTTGGTATGTAGTTCAGATTAAGGACTCCGTTTAATATAGCATAAATCCAATCGTTGCTGATGAACAGGGACCGTTTTAGTTGGATGCGATAAATTTCAACAGGTCCTGGTCACTTGATCTTGCCTTTAGGTAAGGCACTGATTCACCTCAGCAAGCATATCAGAGTGGAGCGGGGGATACGTGGGAGTACTTTACTGAGCCCAATTTTGTATATAAATTAATATATTCTACTATATAAGAATCTGCACTTTTGTTTAGTATAAAAATTATTATTTGTGGAGTCAAAATCGTTGCCTACATTTAGGATCAACAATGCGTTAGAAGCATACTCATTTTGTTCCATATCAGAGAAAACTGTTTTAAGCAGTTTTTGGAGCCCATTTAACGAACTTAACGCTTTGTAATTTTAGATGGATGCATAGAGCGTACAAAAACATAAATTTCCAAATACTTCAAGAACAACCAGATAGATTAGAAAAAAAAATGCAACACTGTTGGGTTGTCTCATTTGGCTGCCTTAAACTACATTAAAATCGTTACTTCTGCTACCTACTACAAAATAAGACCGGCTTAAACAAATTGTTATTGCTTTCAGCTCTGTTTTGTTTTGTTTGCATTCGCAATTTATTTAATTGCATTACGGTTTGGTAAACCAAACAAAGAGGTAATTAATTCAATTTCGTAAAAGGAAATACATGCAAGGTTGCAATCTCTACAACTTTCCGCCATTTCCATTCAGAGTCCGCTTAAAAACGCAAAAAAAAAAAACAAAACAAAAAACGAAATAATTTATTCGCAACTGTCAGTGGCATACACAGTGTTTTTGTTTACTTATATATATATATATAAACTTTGGCTTATGTATATACAGCTGTACGCAACAACTCATTCCATCCAGTATGAGTGAGACTTACTCGAAATTCTCAACGAATTTCCAACTCAAATCCCATTGACTTATTTGTCTGAGTTCTTTAGCTGCAGAAAAGAAATTACAAAAACAAAAAGGCAACAAAATGCAACACTTGAAGTTGCATTGCAAAACAAGTGCAGAAGTCCAGTGTTGGCAATAAGACAGTGTGTGTGGCCTTTTTAAATTGTGAGGCGCGCTGATAAGTATGCAACGTTAAATGTAAGCGTTGGCATTTTCTTATTACTTTCCTCTCTCTCTCCTTCGTTTTCTGCCTATCATCATTGCTTTATTTTGGGCGCTCAAAAGGCTTGCTGCAACGACTTTTAATCATTATGCCGTTGAATGGGAATTCCTTCATCATGAGCAGTTGAACTCTTGTTTTGCGCTGTGTTGTCGTCGGCTCGTTGGCAATTGACGTTTTTCGCACCGTCTTTTACGCGATTTTCTTGCACTCAGAAACCTCGAATCTGGCTGTTTTAATATGGTGGGCTTTGTACTCGCGTGTGTTCGTGTATTCGTGTCTTTAAGATGCTTAATGGTGTCAGTAGCAGCAGTGCGAAAGCGAATGATAAAGTAGTTGACTGGCTGGTAGTGGCGAATACGAAATTTGCAATTATCATAAATAAGGCTTGTCACTATCGTATCACCGCGACACTGCTGCTGGCGGGGGTTTGTGTTTTTGTGTATTCGCGCGCGCGTTGAAAATCGATGC